AGGCTTGAACCACAGTGTTCAGCCTAGAGAGTTTTTTTTTTTTTTTTTTTTTTTTTTTTTTTTTTTTTTAAAGGATACTAGAGCTCATTTACTTTTCCCATTGTGGAAAGAGTGTGTCCTCTAGACCTGCGCTGGGTGGTTGAGTGAGTCTTAATGACTCAGTAGATCCGCTAGCACTGCCACCTCCCTAAGCACTTAGATATTTCCTCTATACAACACCACGGAAGTTCTGGCATTCCTACTTCAATTAGTGTAGGCCACCTTTGGGTTGATTTTTATTCAACCAACAAGCAAAGTGTTAGAGCCATTCCCGGCTCCTCAGGCTAAAGCACTGACTGCTTCCAAACTAGAGGGGCTGCTCAAATGCAAACTGGGATTCCTGAGTGTGGCAGTCCCGATGTAGTAGTTTAGGGAAGAGGAATGGCCTGGCTGGGGCTGCCACCCACCAAGCTGTCACACTTCCTGACTGCCTGCTAAATGGAGTCCTGGGGTCATTTATCTTTGCTCTAGTTCTGACTGCTGAAAATGATTTAGTCTTAAAAAACGAATGAATACCTTTAAGGTTGTCAGATTTAGGGGAAAAAAAAGAACAAAAGGAAAAACAAAAGAAAACAGAAAACCAGAATACCAGAATGCCCAGGTAAGTTTGAATTTCAGATAAATAATAAATACTGTAACTGTTGTATATGGGATGTACTTATACTAAATAATTATTAGTTACTTAACTGAAATTTAAATTTAACTGGGCATCTTGTATGTTTTTTCAGCTTCAAATTGTATTGCTTTTCCATTAAGTATATCAACTGTTTCTCATTTTAAAACTACTTCTGGCCTGGGCACAGTGGTTCGTGCCTGTAATTCCAGCACTTTGGCAGGCTGAGGCAGGTAGATCACCTGAGGTCCGGAGTTTGAGACCAGCCTGACCAATATGCTGAAATCCCATCTCTACTAAAAAATACAAAAAAAAAAAAAAATAGCTGGGCATGCTGGCAGGCACCTATAATTCCAGCTACTCGGGAGGCTAAGGCAGAAGAATTGCTTGAAACTGGGAGGCGGAGTTTGCAGTGAACCGAGATTATGCCATTGCACTGTAGCCTGGGTGACAGAGCAAGAGTCTATCTCGAAAATAAAAAACAAAAAACAGCTAGTTCCATTTGTACCCACGAGTACACAGAATTGAGATGAACAGGAAACAGCTCATGAGATTTCAATCTTTCTCTTATCTGTCCCTAATTAGAATGACCTCAACCAAACAGGAATTGTTTTCTGTATTGGAAAATGATTTACAGGCAAAATAGAAGCACCATCAGTTTTTCTTGAATAGACTGGTCATATTCTGCTTTTCATGGTTTGCTGGTTTTCTAATGCAGTCGTTTGTGGAAAAGTGGAAAAGCATGTGCTGTTTTTATCTGTAGGAAACTATTCTTGGTCTGACATGGGAGGAAGGCCTTGATAGCTGTTAGTGTTCTAAATGTACTGCTTAAGCATTTGGGCCACTGCAGCTGATCATTCAGCACACACTTGCGCTTTTCATTAACCATTTCAGTCTCAGCCACCCTAACAGTTTGCAGATCTTTATTCTCTATACGCTCCATGTTTTCCTTTGGAAAATCCTGGTAAGATTGTTCTTGAATTCATCACTGTGTCTGTAAACATGGGAAGATGAGGCTATTTCCCCTGAGAGTCCTGTCAGAGTCTCCTCTTCCTATCAGAGGAGAAGTGAATGGAGAGTCCAGACCTACTTCTGCAAATGTGTAAAGAGAATTTCTGTCCCTTCTTCTTCTCTTTTTCTTGAACCTTTCTCATCCTTTTTTCACATAGACTGGAGCACTCTATTCCCTGGTCTCTCCCTTGACTTGCCATAGTGATTTTATTTGCCATGGAAGGTCATTCCCGATGAGACTGTGCTCCCTGTGGGAGCACCCCCAGCAGTCCCCTCCTGCTCCCTGGTTGGTGATGGGGTTGAGAGGTTATGCCCATGGGTATCCTGTGTTTTAGCTGCTAACTTTACTTGGGAGATGTGACAGAGGCCTGGGCACTGCCTCTTCTTCAGCAAATGCTCACAGTGTATTTCCAGGACAAGTCACACTAACACAACAGAGTGCCTGGATGCTGAGAGGTTTGTTAAAAAATAGCCTTTTTGAGGTATAGTCAACTCACAATAAATCACATTTAAGGTATACAACTTGTTATGTTTTTGACATATGTATATACCAATGAAACCATCACCACAATCAAAATAGCAGACATATTCACTATCCCCCCAAATTTCCTTGTTCCCCTTTGCAATCTATTCTTTCCCCCTCCCCTCCAACATCTCTGGCAACCACTGATTTGCTGTCACTGTGGATTCATTTACATTTTCCAGAATTTATATAAATAGAATCATAAAATAAGTAGTCTTCAAAAATATATGGCTTCTGGTGGGGCACGGTAGTTCATGCCTGTAATCCCAGTACTTTGGGAGGCTGAGGCGGTCAGATCACCTGAGGTCATGGCAAAACCCCGTCTCTACTAAAAATACAAAAATTAGCCAGATGTGCTGATGCATGCCTGTAGTCACAGCTACTTGGGAGGCTGAAGCATGAGCATTGCTTGAACCCAAGAGGTAGACATTGCAGTCAGCCAAGATCACACCATTGCATTCCAGCCTCGGTGACAGAGTAAGACTCTGTCTCCAAAAAAAAAAGAAAAAAATCTGGCCTCCTCCCTGCAGCATTTGGAGATCTCGTGCATGCTCCTGTGTTTCCACAGCCCGTTGCTTTTTGTGGATGAGCAGTATTCCGCTAGATACACAGGCAACTATTTGTTTACCCATTCACCTGTTGATAGTTTTTTTCTAGCTTGAGGCTATATAAATACAGGTGTCATGAACATTTGGGTCTTATCTTTGTATGGACATACATGCTCGTTTCTGTTGGGTAAATACCTAGGAGTGGAATGGATAGCAGGTATAGGCTTTGCTTTTGGTGACACTGCCAATTTTTCCAAAGTGGTTATACCATTTTACATTCCCACCAGCAGAGCGTGAAAATTCCAATTGCTCCACATCCTTTTACAAGCTAGAAAAACTGCCATTTAAAATGTCACCATCAGTTTCTTTCTTTCTTTCTTTCTTTTCTTTCTTTTCTTTCTATCTTTCTTTCCTTCTTTCTTTCTTTCTTTTTTATGATAGTGACCGGCATTTAGCTTTGGAATGGAGGGATCCTTTGTTGTAGAAAGGACCTTTGAGTGACTTCTTGCAGTTATAACTATTGAGGTCAGACCTATAGCCTTATTATGACTCTGAAAGAGTCAACCCAGCCACAAGGCCTCAGTGAGTGATAAGGTGCCCGAGAAGAGGCTTTCATCATGGGCTCAGCAAAACTGAAGTCACTGGCATACGTCATTTAGTTCCTGTTCCTCATTTCTCTCCAACTGACAGTTGCTTCATACTTCCTCTCTGCCTCCCTCTGCTGCGCTTCCCACCCTCACATCCCCAAACATCGCTACTTTTCTGAACAATTAACCCCAACTCTAAATTCCACATTGTCTTCAGCACAAAACCAAACCCTTAGTTAGCAGAGTTCCTTCTCCCTGGAACAGTGGTTCTCAGAATGAGGGCCCCGTGTCGGCGGTACCTGTATCCCCTGGGAATTTGTTGAAAATGCATATTTTGTGGTCCCACTCCAGACCTCCCGAACCAGAAACTCGGGAATGGGGCCCAGAGCTTGTGATGCATGCTGGCGTCTGAGACTCACTGTCATGGAGTATGGTTTGGAGCCAGTTATTGTTACATAAGCATGTCTGTTGGGGTCTCATGTACTATCTTAATAAGCTTTTTGAATGTTTCAGTTAACACAAATGGGGGGTCTTTGGTTATGGGGTGGCATATGGAGAATTCTCATGTTTGGAAAAATCAGATTTTCTCTACCTCATTTCACCAATATAGAGCAAATTTCCTCCACTACTATTGAGTAAGAAATTAAGGACCGCTTTTAATTGGCCAGTGACTTGGGCTTTTAATGAATTAGATGTCTCTGTGTGTCCCTGTGTGAGATGCTGTGCCCGTGGATATCATCATTTTTGGCTAGGAAGGAAGGTGGCTTCCGGGAAGGAGGGACAGGGTCCCACTGCTTTTCTCTAAGGTTCAATGCCGTGAACATGTGCCTGAGGCTGGGAGGGGAGGAGCGTGGGCTGGCGCCCTGGAGTGCAGCAGCAATGGGTGGCCTGGGTAGGTTTTCAGCAAGTGTCAGTGTCAAGCCTCCAGTTCTCTTCCGTGCAAGCAAGATGCTGGGCCAGCAGGAGGAGGCAGCCAGCCCAGGCCCTATGCCTGCAGGACTCAGCTATGAGCAATGATTGTCCCATGGCGGCAGGGCACTGGTAGCTTTGAGGCCTCAAAGGGCCAGAAGCAAGATTATAAAGAGACCAGTGAGTGTGGAGCCCAGTTCTGAACACCAGGAACAGGAAAATGTTTTTGAAAATGTTTCAAGGATGCATCATCCTTACAGATCTGGGGGTCGCCGGGGAAGTAGCTCATATGTTGAGGTGACCTTCTGCTGACGTGGCAGGTGGGAGCCTGTGCTCTACCGACTCAGCCATAGAAAGGAAGTGGGAAAACATTTTGTAGTTATGGGCTGGTGACGCCTGAGGTATGTGCGATACTTAAGAGGACAAAGCATTCATTTTGTTAGACATTTCTAAACATAATCTCTCATTTGCTTCTGTTAAATTTCCTAAGATTCTGTAGTCGTGTTAAAGTACAAGAAAATACCAGAAACCTTGGGTTAGGGGAAAGCTGGGGGCCTAGCGGTGAGGTAAGTAACCAAGAGAATTTAGAGAGCTTCCACAGGACAAGTCACCTTACCTCTTTTTCCCACAGATTCCAGTTAGCTAGTTCTCATCACCTGTAAGAAAATGCACCTGAAAAATCATTCCCATATAAACGGTCTGCTTATAATTTGGAACGCAGTCAAACTGGTTTTAAAAGCAACTTATGAATTATTTTAAAATGCCCTCAATAGACATTTTAAAATACATTTATTTCATGTATTTTGTCCCCAGTATTCAGAGTTCTGGACAAAGCATAGGCTCTGAGCAAATGCTCCCAGGGCTGGAGAATCAGTTCTGCTACTTCCTAGTTGTGGGATCTTAGACAAATTTCCAAGCCTCAGTTTTTCTTCTCAGAGAAATGAGGCTAGTCCGATCCACACTATGGACAAGTGGTAGGAGGTGGAGGAGCTCGCATTTGCAAAGAGCCCTGCACGGTACCTGAGACAAAATCAATGCTTAGCAAAGTTGGCTCACCTCTCCCTTTTCTTCCTGTATCCAATTTTACCTGCAAATGTGTAAAAAAATTACATGAAAGAATGCAAAAAGACAAAAACCCATGTTTATTCGTCTTGCCTTTGGGGGATGCTGGTTTACACTTCGGTGGAAAGATCAAGTTCTTCCCTCCACCTGCCTTGTGCAGACTCCCCGCTGGGTTGAAGTGGGGTGTTACGGCACAGACGGAAAAGGCGGCAGAGGTATTTCCTAAATGTCCCATCAAGAAACACGTAGAGGAGAGGGTTGACGCAGCAGTGGGTGGTGGCGATGAGTTTAGTGATGTAAACGCTTTTGTCCAGGTTGTAGTTACTCTTGCAGTCACTCAGGGAGAAGTGTTCTTTGAAAGTGGACAGGAAAAGTGTAATATTGTAGGGCGCCCACATCAGAAGGAAGACTACCATGATGGCAAAAACAAGCTTGAAAAGGCCAGACCTCTGCTCCCTGAACCTTAGTGTTTTTCCCATTTGCACATAGGAAAATGTGCAAATCAACAGGGGGAGGATGAGAACCGCAATGTTCATCTTTAAAGTCAGAAGATGCTTCCAGAATGTCTCATCAGCTGGCAGGAAAGGAGGTCTGCTAAATGCACAGTGGTGTTTCTGGTCTTCCATCTGAGGTTTATAAAACACGAATTCGGGCCAAGTGGTCAGAATGGCTGTTACCCATGCCAGGACACTTGTAATGATGCCACAGGGCACCGTCCTGCTGGCTGAGAAGAAGCTTCTCTTGTGCAAAAACACCAGGTACCTTTGCACAGTCAGAAGGCAATTGAAAAATGTCTCACTGTACAGGCCCACGAAGTACAGTCCGAGGAGGATTTTACACATGGGATTGCCCACAGTGTGAGCCCAGAAGGGCAGTGCAAGCAGGAAACACAAGTTAGAAAGGGCTACATTTAGAAGATAGATATTTTCCGTGTGTTTGAGTCCTTTATATTTTACCAGAATAAGCACAACCAGGAGATTGTCCAGGGTACCGAGCACGAACACGGCGGAGCACAGCGACGGCACCAGCTGAGCCAAGAGCACCTGGGCGTCATACTCGCCACACTGTTCCGCCTCATTGCTCTCCAGATCATCCTCTATGAAGACATCATACTCATCCTCTGGGGCCAACGTGTAATTTTCCATCTTCAGGCTGCCCTGCGGAGAAATGGGAGGTGATTTTCCTCTCTGACAGCTGTATGATCCCCGAGGAAGTGACAAACCAGACCCGGATTCATACAGTCCCACTTTCCCTTTCTGGAGCTACATTTTAGCCAGAGTGGTTCCCTATCTCAGAAGACTGAAATAAACATTTCTTTATCGTGTGCCCACTTCCCCAGAGCAGCACCATCCCCAATCCAGTTGTTACGCACGTAAGTGCTTAGCAGTGTCCCAGGTGCCACGGGAAATAAAGCTGGCATGACACCATCTGTATAGAACTTACCGTCTTTGAGCAGAAGCAGAACTTGCCTACGTGAACACCATATGTAAGAAAATATACAATTAAAGAGAACCAAGTACCATGGATTAGTTTTAAGAAACGGGTGTAGATCCTAAATTCTGCAGCACGTTTAAGAAGTTTGCTCACCCCCTGAAGCAGCTTCCTGTGACAGCTGAGATGTTTTTCTCTTGAAGGAGGTAGACAAATGTTTGCAAAAGTGAAACCATGCTCAGCATCAACATGACCGTAAGTGGTTAAACACATTGATGACATGAAGATGACTTACCACTGGGCAGAGCTCCTGGGGAAAAGGCAGCCTCCAGACCCGGCATCCGAGAGCTGTGGGAATGACCCCGGACAGTGGGTGGCTTCCTTTTGATCAGACTGCTCCTGACCCCGAGGGGCACGAGAAACCACTGCTGATTCCCCTGGTGGCTCTACCCCCTCCCCCACTCACAGAGCTCAGGGACCAACCAAAATAAAGAACTCAAAAGCTCCCCCAGGCCTCCAGAGGATCTCTGAAGCCTCTGAGAGCAACCGGGAAGTTGTTTTCTCCTCCCCTCTGGCCCTCTACCCCCTCTGATTTTCCTGTGACCCTTGGCAGCCATCCCCTGGCTGCCTGAGATAAGCAAACTGAGTCACTGCTGCTCCGAGCGATAGCAAGGAAGTGATGTCAAGGTGCTGAGACCTGCCAAGACTCTCTGGCTTGTGGCATGTGACACTCTGAGCAGCAGAGAGGAATGTTGGTGGTGACCACGAGTCCAGACCTGAGCATCCCGATCCTCCAATGTGGCCTCTCACCAGTGTTCACAGAAACCCACCCGCTGATTTGATACGGGGACTAGGAACCTGCCATGACAGTCACAGTGTGTTTGGGTTTTTATTGTCATTTTTGAGGGGTGCTGCGTGCTTTGGCTAAAGACTGATGTCCCAACAGAGAACTTCAGGGAAATGGAAGCCGTGGGGCGATGTCAGTTGGGAAAAGGGGAGGGGCAGAGGTGGGGGCTTGGCGGCAGTGAGCGTAGGGCTGTCCTGGGTGTCAACACTGAGGAAAGTAAAGGAGTTGGCAAGCAGCCGGAAGCAACTGGTGCTGGGACGCATGGGGACGTTGACCCTGCTCTGCAGAGGAGAACCCAGGGGCGGAAAATCCCGTGGTGACGACACGGATATGACATCGTCGGGAAGGAGAGAATGTGAGGGGGCAAGTTTAACCCCAAACTGAGGCTGGGGGCTAGGGTGAGTTTGAGGCCAGAGAGAAGGAAATGGAGAGAAGAGCGCAGATTTGGAATGGTGGGAGGAGGCCGTGGGAGGGCAGGCTGTGGAAAGAGGATGCGGTGGGGAGGGCATGGTTTGGAAGAAGGACGAACTGAGAAGAGGAACTTGAAAATACTGAAAAAATCTCCATGAGCTTTTCTTGAGTCAACGACTCAGCAGCTGTGACTAACCTAATGTGGGACCCAGACCTACCTATTTGCTTAGAATTCATATCTTGGTTAAACGACATCCTTTTCATACCAAAGATGTGTCTGAGGCAGGGCCAAATATAAAATTTATACCTGTCAAAATAGAAACAGAAAACTAAGAAGCTAGCCTGGCACTCCAGCCTGTTCCTATAGTCCCAGCTACTCAGAAGGCTGAGGTGGGAGGGTCGTTTGGGCCCAGGAGTTTGAGGCCAGCCTGGGCAACATAGCGAGACCCCATGTCTATAAACAATATAAAAATTAGCCAGATGCAGTGACAAGCACCTGTAATCCTAGACATTCGAGAGGCTGAGGTGGGATGATCACTGGAGCCCAGGAGTTTGAGGCTACAGTGAGCTACCATCATGCCACTCTGTACCGCGGCCTGGGTGGGAGAGTGAGCACTCTCTCTGTAAGGAAAAGAAGAAAGAGGAGGAGGAGGAGGGGCGGGTGGAGGAGGGAGGAGGAGGAGGAGGAGAAAATGAAGAAACTATTAAGAGAAAAATAAACAGAGAAAGAGCCCAGACAAATCTGTGATTGAGCACTAAATTTAACTGCATTTGTGCTGACAGCCAAGGCAGAAAGAGAAACGCAGTGATGCTCGGTGGCAGAAGGGGTGGTGCTGGTGGGAACCTAAGCTGTAAGTGTCCCCTCCTCTCCTGTGTGGGTCTGCTGTGAGTGAGTGGCGGTCACTACACCCTGGGACACTCTTCCCACCCTCTGCAGCCTGGGATCAGCAGTAGTCCTCCTGGGTCTCTCCGCCTCCTGCAGCTGGGCAGGACACTCAGGACCTTGAATGAGTGAGGTGGGGGCGGCCTTACTCTCCATGCTCACGGATCAGTTCCAGAAAAAGGAAGGAGAGTCCAGTCAGACTTTGAAACTTGCAAAACCCCGGGAGCACACACACACACTCTTCCTCATTAGTGGAGGACAACAATAGCAGGCAGGCAGCGTGTACCCATGGCCCGGAATCATGTGAGACGTGAAATTCCCCAAGGAAAAACACAGAATCATGTGAGATGTGACATGTCCCAAAGAAAAGTGTTGCATGAATTCAGGATCAACCTAACTTCCTAATATTCGCATGGCTTTCACTTTCAGTATTATTTTATTTTTGCCTGATTCCCAGCATTCTGCCTGTCCACACTTAGACCATAAGGTCCTTGAAGCTTCTGCATAGGAAGGGAGGAAGAGTTTAGAAGGCTGTCGTTGAGGCAAAAGGCGAGTTCTCTTTCATTCTAATATCTGAAGTCATAATGGGACCTCCTTGTTGGTGAAACGAAACCACATTCTGCAGCCTGGGCAAGTGGCCCACAGACCTTACCTCTGAAGGTCTGAGTCCCTCTTTATCACTGTAACTCGACCCCAGTTTTAGTTGAAGAAACGATCACTTTATTTATTTTTTATTATTTATTTATTTATTTTTTTATTTTTGTTTATTTATTTTTTTTTTTGAGACGGAGTTTCGCTCTTGTTACCCAGGCTGGAGTGCGATGGCGCGATCTCGGCTCACCGCAACCTCCGCCTCCTGGGTTCAGGCAATTCTCCTGCCTCAGCCTCCTGAGTAGCTGGGATTACAGGCACGTGCCACCATGCCCAGCTAGTTTTTTGTATTTTTAGTAGAGACGGGGTTTCACTATGTTGACCAGGATGGTCTCGATCTCTCGACCTCGTGATCCACCCGCCTCGGCCTCCCAAAGTGCTGGGATTACAGGCTTGAGCCACCGCGCCCGGCGAAACGATCACTTTATACTCTCATACCCCGCTATGTGCAGATCACTCATTTCCTCAATTCAATTATTTGGCAAGTTTTTCTCGAGTGCCTAGCCTATGCCCAGGTCCATGCCAGGTGCTGGGGATGTGCCAATGGGCAAAACAGGCAAAAATCCTGACCTTCATGAAGGTCTCACTCTACTGACAGAAACGAAGCAAGTACATAATAGGTTAGCAGGAGAGAAGTGCTATGGAGAACACCGAGCAGGGAGGGAGAGCAAGAGAGGCCAAGGTGGCTCGGGGATCACATTTTAAATAGTGTAGTCAGAGAAAGCCTTGCTGAGGGCTGGATGTGGTGGCTCATGCCTGTAATCCCAGCACTTTGGAAGGCTGAGGTGGGTGGATCACTTGAGGTCAGGAGTTGGAAACCAGCCTGGCCGATATGGCAGAACTCCATCTCTAGTAAAAATACAAAAATTAGCTGGGATGAGAGGCAACGGGTGCCTGTAATCCCAGCTACTCGGGAGGCTGAGGCAGGAGAATCACTCAAACGCAGGAGGCAGAGGTTGTAGTGAGCTGAGATTGTGCCACTGCATTCCAGCCTGGGCGACCGAGTGAGACTACATCTCAAAATAAGAAAATTAAAAAAAAAAAAAAAAAAAAAAAAAAGAGAAAGCCTTGCCGAGAAGATGGGCACTGAAGCCACAAATGGTTAGGTACAATAGTTCATGATCATTATCTCATTCTTTCTTGTCATGAAGGTCTTATACCAGGGAGGTTGAAAACATCACACTCTGGGTGATAACCTTGGCAATAATTTTACAGAAGATGCAAACATATTTTTCTTAATATATTGGCCGTCAATGAAGTTATGAATTGATTGCCCTTCCGCTCCTCATCCACTCCTCTGCATTCTGCTTTGTGATTCTAGAGCTGGACCCCATAAACATTTCTCCTTTGCCAGCTGGTGTAGAAGGCATGGAAGGGTCATGGTAAGAGGCAGAGTTTTTTCTTTCTGGCTCCAGGATTTGTTTTTATTTTGTTTTCGTTCTTTTGGCTAATCTGCCAGTGCTGGGTGGAGACCCTTTGTGCCCACTCTCCAGTGAATTTTCCCGACACCATGACAGTGGCTTCCTGTTGACTTTTGCTGGCACTCCAGTGGGTAGCTTCCTAGTAAATTTTGCTGGCACCCCGAGAGCATCTTTCTTGCCAGAGGCATGCCCACACTCCTGCAAATCTCACTCGTACTCCTTTGGGAAGTTTCCTGCTCACCAGCTCCAACCTGCCACAGTTTAAAAAATAGCAGGACTCAAAAACTAAAGCAAGTTTCTTTACTACAGGACTTCTCAGAGCCCTTCATATGCTAACAGGCATTATGATCCTGGGTATGGAGTGTTTCCCAAAATGTTTTGATCATGAAACCCCCTCTAAAATTTTCATACAGACACTTACAGGCTAACAGCTCAGTGAGCATGTTCTGAGAAATGCTTCCTTAGACATACAAATATTACTGTGTGGTCTAGTAGCCCTAAAAATGCACCCCCTGCCCTGGCTCTGAGGGAGTGTAATTGAATGAGGGGCCCAGCTGCTGCACTCTGAGACCCATGTCTGTATTCATGCCAAGGTCGTGCCCTCCATGAGCTGCTCCACTTAGCAGCTGGGCACAAGCTTGTAATCCCAGCACTTCAGGAGGCTGAAGTGGGCAGATTGCTTGAGGCCAGGAGTTCAAGACCAGCCTGGGCAACATGGCGAGACCCTGTCTCTACAAAATATACAAACTATAGTTGGGAGTGGTGGTGTGTGCCTGTAGTCCCAGCCTCATGAGGCTGGTGTGGGAGGATTGCTTGAGCCCATGAGGCAGAGATTGCACTGAGCTGTGACTGTGCTACTGCACTCCAGCCTGGGTGACAGAGTGAGACCCTGTCTCAAAATACATAAAAATAAATAAAACCGCTTAGCCATGTGGACAAGATCCAACTGTAATTTAAGATCTTCAACAAGCTTCCAGAGATTCTTTTAGATTCCCTGGTAACTCTTCTGAGTGTCACAAATTGTCACTTTATCCCATTTTCCATCAACTATTTGAAGGTACTTAAAGCTTCCAGTCTCTTCACCTCCACTCTGACTACCCCTTTACTCTCAGGAGATGATCTCATCTTCTCCTTTTCTCAGAACTCCTCAACTCCTTGGAGCCACCTTCAAATGCAGTTGTGGTATGTCTACACTTTTCCTCGATTCGTGGATGGAGTTGCTTCTCTCTCTTTTTTTTTTTTTTTTAAAAAGACATTTATTCAGTGTCATGATCAGACTATTACATTTAGCAATCAACAGCATGGGTGCAAAAAAAAAAGAAAAAGAAAAAGAAAAAAAAATCTGCATTAAAACCCTTTGTTGGAATGCTTTACAATTTCCACAGAACAGAAACTAAAATAACCTGTTATACAATTAGTC